AATCTTCATTTAAAGAGCATGATGATATAACAGCATCACTTATACACAGTGTAAAGGACCACCAAAAATGTAAAGGTGGCTACTAAAAAAACCTGCCACCAATTGTAAAGGAGGACTGCTACACAAGCCGCCACCAGTTTGTAAAGAACTATATCCGATCTGTAAAAGGCTCTTGTATTAATATCACTGGATGCCACCCTATTTGTGTTGTGAGGTAATTATGGTAGATTGGGTACACCGAGCATAGATTAAATGGAGATGAGGCAGTTTTAAAAACCAAAGAGAACAAGTTTATTTGAAACAAAGCGTATGGTTACTGTTTGATGTTGAGCTTGGCAAATGCTTGAAGAACGATACAAGTAACTTGGTTGTGATACAGGTCAGACTTCCGATGTTACAACTTATGAAACTCTTGCTGTGGTGAAGCACTTTAAAAACAATGTTTTACAGTGGTGAATAGTCTCCCTGTTTGATTCTTCTGTAATCAAACACCAGATCTCTAGTTCTCTTAACTAGGGATCCAAGCAAGCCTCTGTTAGTTCTTTCTAACTAAAGAAACTAACAAGGTTTTCCCCTTCAGCTTTTCTAACTGAAGAAATCTCTGACTATTCCCGAACACTGTTTCTTTACTTCCCACTTTCTCTCTACATGACTGATCACTTCTCCTAACCTAACTCTTCACTCCTCAGAGTCTCACTCCTGACTCTCTCAGAGTCTCCCTCCTGACTCTTCTCTTCTCAGAGTCTAAAACCTAACTAACTCTTAACTGTCACTTTTCAGAAAACACTCTCCTCTAAGCTCCTCCCACTCCTCTGCAGCATCGTTTCCATGGTAACACACTCCTCACAGCTAGGCTGCTCCAGCCTTAGGGCAACCAAAGCAAACATAAATACAGTTATAATCATATTATTATAAACACTTCTGTACAACAGCACTTTACAATTAAAAGAACATAGCAGTTTCCTGCCAACATGACAATAAAGAAAAAGGAGATTGCAGTGTGGAAAAGGATTAGGTCTAGCAGATACTGCCTCTTCTTCAATCTCTCTCTTCAGTGAGGACAGTGGCAATTGAGAAGTAGGGAGACTTTCCTGCTTCTTGGACAGGCATGATGGAGCTGTGTCTGCCCTTCTCTCTCTTCTCTTGTGACCAGAGCATTGAAAGTTGGGATGGAGGGGGGCTTTCATCTGCTTTGGGCCTTCACACACTGGAGCTGTGCCTGCACCCTCTCCCTCTGTGGCCAGAGCAGTGGAAGTGGGGAGGTGGAAAAGGGGCTTTTCATTGGCTTCTGTACCTAGGCTTGATGGAACTGTGTCTGCCTCTTCTCTCCCTCTGTGTTCAGGGCAGCTTGCTGCTGTTGTGCATACACTCTGGGATCCTCAGGATCCCATCTGCATCCATGTTTCCTCTCCTGTTTGGCCTAATGTTTTATTATTTATTTCTATTCTAGTGTTTGTTATCAGCACATAGCAACAGCCCCTGAAAGAGTGAGCTGTGCTGTGAAATCATCTCAGCCATGCAACCTCAAGGATTCTGAAAGATTTGGAAGCTTCAGAATGATGCCTGCCTGTGAAATCATAGCCCCCAACATGTATTCATAGGTTCTGTCATTGTGTAGTAAACATAATTTATAACCCACTATGGAAGCAAATACTCAGCTGGTAGAGAGCTCTGGAAAAGTATGTAGTGAGTGCAAATTGATTGGGCATTGTAAAGAAAAATTATTCCATTCTTACAAGTTTCATCTTTTTCCCTTCTGTCAGAGAGATAATGGATCATGGAGTAAGAGGAAATGGGGCTTGTGGCAGAAAAGCTCTGATGTGTAGGTAGGGGCAGATGAGAAAACCACAAATAAGGATCTCAGAAGGTGTAGAAAAGGAAGGAGAGAGGAGGACAGTTCCAGATTTAAGCCTATATCAAGTAATCTCAATTGACTAGCTCTGAAGGCAAAAGCAGCATGTTCAGTCCAGGGGGGCTCTCAGCCCAGGAAAAGGAAAGGCAGTGAGATCATCCCCACCTGAGCCAGGCCGCCCGAGAGACACACAGATCTCATTTTTCTCTTACACCTGCTGGCTCAAAGCCCCCAGCTTGTCTGTCTCCAAGGCACGTGCACACAAGAAAGGAGTTGTGCAAAGGCTGCCCCTCAATGAGGCCTCAGGTTTACAATGGCTTTGGAGATTAAATTCCTCGAGACAATCATCATCATCATGCTTTAGGTTTCAAGAGTCATGGATTTAGATTTATAGCTTGACTTGTGGAGGCTGTGGACCAATACTGTTCTTCCCAACAAGTTTTCCTAACCGTCTTCACAACTAGCTTCTGAGGTTGGCTGCTATTAATTTCTCTTTTTTTATAGAATACCTAAGTGCTTGATCAATTTACTCATTCATTTAAACTATTTTTACACTGTGCTTTGAGGCAAAAAATTCCCTAGACAAGCTTCACAGGCTGAGCAGCGTTTAAACCAGTAGTATCAATAAAGATGGTGTTGGTAAATGCCTGTCAAGGCAAAAGGAAAATTCCCAAGAACTAACAGGAACCTATCCAGACCCATCAGGCGCCTGAGGTGGCCCATATTATTTGGTCACTCACCCCACAGAGACTCTCACACCAAGCAATCTAATTCTGCCAAGAAGCAATCTGTCCATGGCAATTGAACAATAGAAATATCCTTTCTTCTCTGATCACTATCATCTACTATAGCAGGGGTTGCTAATGTCCCCCACCAACTCCCAAAGCCACCTCCCAACAAGTCCAAAAGCCTCCTTTTTCCTCTGCTTCTTGTTGCTATGTTTAGACTATGAAGGAACATTGAAATATTTAGGGGTTAGTGCTGAGGTGTTCATAGGGGTGGGATGTTTGTGGGATTCTGGGGTGCTTGGAGGGGTGGGTGAAAGATTTCTGCACATTTTCACATATGGGATCCTTTTTGCATGTTTAAGGGGCAAAACTGACCAAAACAGCATCATTTTTAATGAGGAGTTAGGGCTCCAGGAACCACAACAGTGGAGTCCAGGGGATGCCTGTCCAGAGTAGGCCTGAATCACCTGTGGCCCTACGGGTGTTTTGAACTTCAACTCCCAGAATTCCTGACCATTGGACAAGCTGTCTAGGGCTACTGGGAGTTGGCAGCCCAAATATTCAGAGGGCTATAGATTGTGCAGTCCTAGTCTAGTGCATGCCCAGTGGCATGAGTGGGGCCATACATCATTTGGAAGAGAAGTAGAATGGGTGAGTAGTTGAATGAGTGCTACACCAGAGATTCCCTAATCTGTCCCAGTCAATTACCTTCAAATATATATTCACACAATGCCAACTAAGGGATAAGATTTGGATGGAATGCTCCCCACCCCCAAACCAGTGCTATTTCACACACCAATCCCTCTTTGATTTAACTTGCTGCAATACAAAGCAAAGCTGAGAGTGATTAACTATACAAGTCAAGTCAGCATGCTTATCCAGCATCAAGTTCTGAATGGCTGTTGTTGTACAATTCTTGGCCACACACTGATATTGTCATATGTTCTGCAGTTGATGGTAGTTGGTGATGAAAGGGTTAATGTGAGTATTAATTCTAGAGGGTTTGGTAATCTGTAAGTGGGAGTTCATGGGTGAAAGCAATTAGGGGTGGAGGTGTGCAGGAGATGGGCTGCAGCTGGGTGTTACTGGATTTAAGAAGTTAACCTTGAGACTGATCTTTGGGAGAAAAGTATCTGCTGTATTTTGGTGGTGGATGGTGCTGGTTTTTCCCCCAGGTCTGTTGGATTTTTCGGTATCCTGACCTGTCTCTTGTAATCTTGGAATCCTGGAACCTTGAACCTTTGGACTGGCTTTTGACTATGGTATAGACTCTTGATCCCTGGACTTTGTTTATTGAACTCTCGGCATTTGACCACTGGACTGGACCCTTTTGACTTCCAAGTTATTTTTGCTATCAGTTTTTGTTTATTCTGTAGCTATGTGCTATCTTTGTGTTTTATATTTTGGACTATAAAAACAGCCAGCAAGTAAGTAAGTGCTGTTTTAATTAAACTGTTTGTTAAAACTGGGAGTTTGATTAATTTCTACCTAAACAAGGTAGAGCCCTAGCAACGTGACAGATATTTCTTGGTCACGATGTCCTTGTTTTCACCTGTGAAATGTTGCAGGATAGGATATTCCCCTGCCCAAATAGCCGATCCAATAATGTTAGGGGACCTAAACGGGCACTTGCTCACTTGTGCTTAAATAGTTCAGCTACGTCATGTTGAGTCATGAAAAATCACATGTCCTAGACCAGTGATTCCCAAAGTGGGTGTTACCTCACTCTGGTGGGCGCTGCAGCAATCGGGGGGGGGGGGGGAATGGTAATGGCCACAAGTGCATTTGGGGGTGATGAATAAATGTAAAGGGGCAGTGAAAGCATAAAAAAAAGAAGAGAAGATTTAGAAAAACGGATTTCCCAGAGGATAGGCCAAATAAGTTTGGGAACCACTGTCCTAGACTAATGTCTGTTTTGGCTCATTAGTACAGGAAGAAATTAACTCAACAAGTAATTATGAGAAAGTTTGAATCTAGTTTCCTTGGAGTCAACCCTTCTGAAGAAATAATCTGTGTCAGCTGTGAATCCCAGTCTCCAATCTCTTTTCTTTGAAAATATTAATTGAACACACAATTGGGACCAGCTCCTGATAGCCTCAGTCTGGTCTCCACAGCTGGCAGCAACTACTTTAGGCAGCAGATTTTGGAAATCACAAAATGTTACAATGTTTTATTATTTCATTTTTACTGCTGGGTAGGGAGAAGCACTTAGATAATTTTCCACCTTTTATGCCAATTCAACTTAGTTGCCTTTGGCTTCTACACACCTTGACCAGAGAGGATACACAGAAATATGGACATACAGGATGCACAAGTGCTTTTGAACTTAGATTATTTTTCTTAGACAAGTATAAAAAGAGAACATTTCTCTGACTGTATAACCAAAGTCCAAATTGCAAAGGGAAATCACGAAAACTCACCTTGCTGCTTTCTGAGTAAGATCCATAGGAAAGTCAGGGCAAAGCAACTGCAGAAGGCAATGGTATTCCTTGGCTGTCAGAAGATCTGGAAGAGAAAGAGAAAAACAAATAGAAGAATGTGTCTTTGAAATGGATGCTTCCCTTCATCACTCAACCTGGGCATTGGGGTTTCTTTTTCATGTTTGTCACTTAAAGAAAAAGCATGGTGTTGTGGTCCGAGTGTTGGATTAGGACTCCAGATATGAATCTTCCTTCAGCTATGGAGACCCACTAGGTGTTTTTTCATGTCACACTTTCTTCCTTGTAAAAAAAAAACCTTGGGAGAAAGTCATTATAAACTGAAGTAGTCATGTAACAACAATAAAATGATACCCAATTATTTCTTGGATAATTCATACCAAAAACACTTTAATTGCATTTTGCTTCATTTCAGTTTAATCTTGAGTTGGGTAAGGCATTTGGCTAAGCAAAATTCCACACATTTCAATAGCTGGGCAAAAAGGTCACCAAAACGATGATGGGTTGGCAATGATCTAAGTATGAGAGATTATTTCTTGCACTGGTTGTTTTAAAAAGCCTTTGACTGCCACTATTAATGGCGAGCTGCATGTGTGCAACAGAATGGACATGAAAATACAGCTTTTGACATATTGTCTACATGGTCATTCCTTTTGGGCAGGATGGAACAAACATGATACAGCATTATGATTCCAATCTTTAAGAATCAGTAATATTATAATTTATTGTGTTTGATTATTATAATTTGATAGTTTTATTTCTACTTGGTTTTTTAAATGTTAGTCGCATTGAATCCAATCATGCAGCTAATTCTTTCATGAAAAATAAACATGAAGCTCATAAGGTGAAATACATGCAGGCGTATATTATGTTTATTTATCAGAGCAAAATTGCAGTTGGGATGTGCCCTTAAAAAGATTTTAAGTCAGGAGCTAAAGTTAGCATACCGCTAATAACCTGAACTGGGAAGTGGTTGTTCTTGGCTGAAATACAATGTGGGTGGTTAGGCAAGCCATGATTATTTGTTACATGTCTCTCACGTCATCTGTAATACAGGCAGAATAAAACTTAATATCTTCACATAGTTTTTGAAAAGTTTAGTAAGGTAATATATGGAAAGTCCATGATAAAAATTCTATGTTTGTGGAGATGAGCACTATAATAAATCACAGCCAGAAACTGTCAGATAAAGTGCCCTATCACTTTGTGCAGTCCTAAATACAATTGGTAGCCCCAACTAGACTCAATTTCCATTTAGTAGGTGTACTCTTGCTGGAACTACCAATTTATGTAAACTCCAACGATTCAACAGGTCTACAAACCCTAGCTGGAACTACCAGTTTATGTAGTTTCCATTGATTCAACAGGTCTACTCCACTGAGATTAACAACTGGAGTATTTCAGAAGCGCTTGCATCTACAGAACTCAGAAAGACTAGTAGCAATTCAGCAGTAGAAGTCCCCCACCCACCCAAACTATCCTCCATACTATCCAAATGCCCCTTATTTAATTGCACATCACTTCCTGCAATCACACTACCAAAAGAAAATCTACAAAAATGCATGTGTGCAGTTCACATCAGCGAACTGCATACATGCATTTTTGAAGATTTTCTTTTGGTAGTGTGATAGCATGACAGCAATGGCTCCTTTTAAACAGGAAAATAATAAGGGACAATTGGGATTCAAGATGGACAGAAATGGGAGCGGCAATACACTTCTTCCTTCACTAGATATTTCACCATTTCAAATTTCCTCCCAACTGGTTTTTTTTCTTCTGAAGGCATTTGCAAAGGACAAGACACATTGGAAACCCTCTGGTGGAGTAAACGCTGCTTGAGAAAGTCAAGATGGAAGTTGGAAAGTGGAAGGTACCAGCTATTTTTTTGGACTACAGCTTTTGGGAGTCCAAAAATAATGTTTCTAAGCTTCTAACTCATGCACACATGAACACCACAGCTCTCCAATGGCCCCTCTGGACACAGCTTTTCCTGATTAAAAAGAGGCCATGATGGCCATGTCATACTCATCTGTATGCAACATCTATTCTGGCCCTGAAAACTGCTGAAATGTATTAAAAATCACTGGCATGGTAACATCTACTACCACATGCTTGGAAAAACATCCAGGACACATCTGGCAGGCTTTGAAAAGGCAAACAAGTTTGAGGGACATGTATGAAGAAGTGTAGAGCTTAAAGCCACAGGCATTATTTCTTTGGCATCCAACAAGGCAGCTGGATGGCCCCTTTTGGAATTGCGTGTGCAAATCTGGTCACTATATTAAAAGAAGGCAGAGGGATAGGATCCAAAACACACAAGGCAGCCAACCCCATGATTCATCTCTCAGAGAGCTGCTTTGTGAGAGACTGGCAAAGAACTGCCTCTGTGGGTTTTCGAGGGGGAGGGGTGAGAGAGGTGAAGGTCAGGGACATTTATGAGATCTAAAGAGAATGGAAACACATTGATGTCAAAAAGCTGTTCTTGATTGCATGTTCCCTGTCCAAAAGCCTGTGGACTGAAGTTAAGAAGAGGGCTGGCTGAACAGCAGTAATTTTGCTGTATTTCTATATACAGAAGAATGCAAAGCATGGAAGAAAAGCCAATAGTAAAACTAGAGCCAGGAAGCAGGCAAGGAGTGACTCCCAAGGGCACAGAACAAGAAGATATGGATGGACTCTTCTGCTAACCCTTAATTTCTCTAAACATTGTTCTAATACGGCTATGAGTCGCCTTAGGGCTGAGAATGGTGGTATACAAATGAAGTAAATAAATAAATAAATAATAATTAACATGACTGGTTCCAAAGGAGACGTGTGCATGCATGTAAAGTAATTCCAATGCACAGCATTGAGATAACCCATTTCTCCTTTCACCTGCAGTTCATCATCCCTTATACAAAACTGCTTATTCTAGAGCTGGAGTGGACAAATGTATAGGCACTAAGGGCCACCTTCTTGCTCCCCATCCTAGAACCTCTCATGAGCAGACCCTTCCTCATGGTTGTTACGGTAATTGCTATCAAGTCAGCTTTGATGTATGGCAAACCTATAAATCAGCAGTTCTTAAAGTGTGCTCCGTGGAGTCCTTGAGGATCCAAGAACATACTGAGGGGCTTTGCGCTTCCCTCCTCCTCCTCCCCCTTCAAGCATGCATGACGGCTTTGACTGTTCAGCAGTGGAACTCTCTGCCCCAGATTGTGGTGGAGGCTTCTTCTTTGGAGGTTTTTAAACAGAGGCTGGATGGCCATATTGCTTTGAATATGATTTTTCTGCTTCTTGGCAGAGGGTTGGACTGGATGATCCACAAGGTTTCTTCCAACTCTACGATTCTATGATTTCCCTCCTTTTACCTGCTCCTTCCCCTCCAAGTGCGCTTTCCTGCCTACAGGGAGTGAGCAAGTGAGGGAATGAATGTGGGCCCAGAAAGGAAGGAATTGCATGAAGGGAGGAAGGCCCTGCCAAGGCAGAAGGCCTGTCTGGGGCTCAGGTTCTGTGGCCAAGCCTCCTTCCCACTCCAACCAGCAGCCGCAGCAGCAGTCTCTTCCCAGGGCACAGACCATTTCTCCTGTGCCCCCTCACTGCCCAGACGCCTCCTCCTATGCCCCCTGGTCATGCAGACCCATTTCCCCCGTGCCCCCTCGCCATGCAGACCTTATTCTTGTGCCCCCTTGCCATGCCAACCCTTTTCCTGTGCTCCCTCACCATGCAGGACCTTTCCCATGTGCCTTCTTTGCTTCCAGAACCCTATTTCTCTTCCACCACTCTGAGGGTGTTTTAATTGTGCATCCCCTGGGGCTGCTTCTATTACTATTACTATTACTACTACTATTATTATTATTACAAAGGCTATATGGCCTTCTGTTGGGGGTGCTTTGATTGTGCTTTTACTGCATTGCAGAAGGGGATTGCACTGGATGGCTCCTGGGGTCATTCCTGTTATTATTATTATTATTATTATTATTATTACTACTACTACTACTACTACTACTACTACTACAGAGACTGGATTGTCAACTACCAGGAGTGCTTTGTGCTTTTCCTGCATGGCAGAAGGGTGTTGGACTGGATGACTTGGGTCTTCCACTGAAACACTGTTACTTTTATGTTGTTTTAAATTGTTCTTCATTTTAAATATTGTATTGTTCTTTCTTTCCTTTTTTGTTTTCACTGCAAACGAGATATATGCGGTGTGCATAGGAATTTGTTCTCCATCCATCTGCCACTGGCTTGGCTCATCCATCAATTTTTTAAAAAACAATGCGTGAAAAAGTTTTCTCATACCTGATATATATGTATTATATATAATATATAGATATTTCTTGGGGCTCCATGAGAAACTTTTGCTTCAAAAAGGGCTCTATGGCTGAAAACGTTTGAGAACCCCTGCTATAAATGACAAAGTCTTAAGATGTCCCTCTCACCAACAGTCCCGCAAACTCAGGACTGTGGTCCCTTGTAATGCGGGGTTTCTCTTTTCCTAATGCCTCCCATTATGTCTTTTCTAATAGCACCAAATACTTATATTTTGCTTTGCAACCCCTCTCATAATGATGGTAAGGCATGGCATGATTTTACATGACACAGAAGTGGGAGTCACAGCCTGCACTAATGTACCCCATGTCTAGAGGATCCTACAATTCCCTGGAAAAACTTTTCAAAAGAGGAGCAAGAGAATGCAGTAGGAAGGGGATTCTTTGAAAATCTAGCAGGTATGAGACTTCTACATTTATATTTATAGATTATATTTCTAACCTGAATTTCAATCAAATTGGGAAAATGTATGTTTCCTTCTAAAGTTGCTGGTCTGCAATCCTCATCATTCCTCATCACTGGCTATGTCGGCTAGGGCTATTGGAGGTTGCAATCCAACAACATCTGAAGTAGTATGATTCCCACCCGACTCAAGCAGAGGTTGAATGGCCAACATTAACTGTAGCTTTTCTGTACTGACAAAGGTTGGTCTAGATTAGAAGATGCTTGGTGTTCCTTTCCATTCTACAGTTCTAGCTCAACTCTACCAGACTGCAGTGGACTCCACATTCTATCACAGTTCTTATTTAGCAATTT